GCGCTAAGGATGTCCGACTGCTGGCAGTAAGACATCTCCCAAGAGCTCCTGGACTGCGAGAGGGCGCAGGCCTGGCTGAGGGGACTCCCATCCCACCCCCCCACCCCCCAGTGCACCAATTTCATGCACTGGTCCTCTAGTGAATAAATAAAACTTAACTATGGCCTCCTCCAATATCATTGTCCTATTATGTACTAATGTTTAAAAATAGTCTTTCTTCAATAATATAAGACTTCCAAAATATTAAAAAAATTAAATATATAAAAATTTAAAGAAATTTCTTAAAAAAAACACGTAAAAACTTGTGGAAATTATTCAGTTCATTTACCCAATTGCTACACTAATCTTGCTTCAATAACTAACAAATGTAGTTTAAAAATTGGTGGATTCTTTAAACCTATTATTTTTGTTAATTCCATTTCATTGTACTCTACATGAAATGAATTCCATTTCATTTACTCAGATTTGGTCTTAAATCTGAGTAAAAACATGTAGGATGAATATTCATAATGCTGGCAAACATAACTGTTGCTTACCTTTCCACCACTGTCATAGCGCTTATAGAAGATGGAACAAAAATCATTTTCTGGTTAGTCAGGACTCCCTTCATCAGCTTGCTCACCACTTCCTCAGGTTCCAGGGTGGGTCCCAAACTGAAATCAGAAGCAAATCATTTCACAGAGGCTTCAGCTTCAGTTTAGTGCTAACAAATATGTTATGTTACTATAGAAACCATAACCTAACTGACTTGTGACATCTAGCCCATTCTAGTGTTGTAATGTACCCCACGAGTAAATACTCAGGACGCAAGACCAAATCAATGAATCATTTAATTAATAAGCCAGTGACTGAGAGAGAGTTATGGCTCCAAATCTCCCAGTCCCAAAAATAGTGGCAACATCAGGCTTATATAGGCAAATATTACAAAGGTATCGATTACATCTTTGGGTTTGGAATGAGGAACCTGGTTTACACAAAGCAGTTACAGAAGCGAAATTGAGCAAGTTAGTTAACTATAAAGATTATAGTTTTGGGTCTTCGAATCACTGAGTCAACCGGAACTCATTATCTGTAGCCACTGAGGCAATTTAGGGTAATTGTGCTGTCCTGGCTTCCAGGTACCGAAGAATGTGCTTCGATAACCAGTAAGATCACAATCAATGGGATATTCAAACCACCAACAATGGAGTATTCAACCGATTGGGACAGCATACATAAGTTCAGAAAATCAAAGTAACTTTCCTATAGTTTTGGCAAGCAAATAATGACAGAAGCCAAGTCAGCAGGGTTAAAATATTAAACAGCAATTCCCACCCAAGCATGGTTGCCACCATGCTTCACTAGGTACTCAAAGATGGTAGCTGCTTTGGCACTAAC